TTCTATTTATTCACTGTTCAGAAGCATGGACTTCTAAATTCTTATAGACAGAAGATGGAATATTTATTAAGTAATAGGAGACATTGTATATGGTTAATTTTTATTCACTCCTTGCTTCTTTAAACTTAAGAAACCACATTGCCTTTTTTTTTTGAAGGCCAGCAATGAAACAGGACTGTACATGAAAAATGATTCCTTTTAGTGCGAGCCCGGTATAAGATGAAGGTTGAGTTCTCTCCATCCAAATATTATAACTACACAGCAGAAATCCCCTGAAGAGGGATGAAAAAAGAGAATAATAATGTGTCTGGAATTTCTTTTTGAAACAGACACCTCACAGCAGATGCCAGTAGGCAGGATTTGGTGGGGAACGGATCTACCTAAAGTGTTTGAAAATGCATGTCTATGCTGTAACTATATTTCGCAAGCTGTGCTGTACTGCACAGGAATCCAGTATGCAGGACATGCCTCCGAGGAGTTTGTGCAGTGAAATAGCAAATGACCTGTTGGGTTGCAGTGCCATCTGCTGATGTACTAATTTATTGCAGAAACTAACGCAGTACCTGAGTGACTGCAAACATACAGGGCAGCTTTGTAATTCATCACAAATAAATACACGTAAAATAGCAAGTGGCTGACAGTTGGTTGTTTTTTGTTTTTGTTTTTTTTCGGAGGAACCAGGACTTCTGGTTAGAAAAGGTGCTGCTAGCTTTAGAAGGGAAGGAAGGATTTTCTTGACCTCTCGTGTCTTTATAAGTCGGAACCAAAGCTCCCACATTCCTGCCTCCTTTTGAAAATTGTATTTAGGCTGCTGTATTGTTTGAATTCTTTTGGAAAATAAACTGGATTTGTTGTTCTGCTCTGAGATCTTGTTACTGTCCAAGTTTGTAGGCAATTGGTAAACATTCAGTGCCATGACTCCTCCATTTGGTCGGTAAACATCCCTTGTTCCAGGGCAAAACCAGTCCAAGAGGCTATCGGGGTAGCTGGCCTTACCTCCAGGACTTTGCTTTATCCATGCACGGGGAAACTACATGGAGCACCAGCCCCCAAGTAGGCTTCTCAATCCTGTTCTCTTATGTTCAGTGTTTTGCTTCCTATGCCAGAAGTGACAGCTGAGTTGAAGTTGATGCAAAAGTGTCAACCAAAATCAGAGTTTTTGCTGTGTAACCTCACACCAAATACCTAACTTTCTAGTTTGCTCTTAGTTGCCAAAGCAACAAAAGGAGGTCTTGAGTCATTTGCTTTTCAGGTAGAGTAATCAGTCAGGCCAGTAATTGATTTGAGATAAACTTCTGGACAAACATTTGCTTTTGTGCGCTGAAAAAAATGGCCAGTTTATCCCAATGTAGACTGATTTGTTCTCATGCCAGGATGTGCTTCTGTCCTGTTCTTACGCCAGGCTTGGCTACTGACACTCCTTTTTTTGTATCATTATCGGTGTTACCAGTGATTTGAACTGCCATCAGGGGTAAATATTTACACTGTCTTTCCACCCATGCTTGTCTGAGTAAAACACAATTTACTATCTGTCCTTCCATCCCTATCTGAAACTTTCAGAACAAGAAATAACTTAGTCCTCTACTTTTATTTATTCTTCTGAATTGGAGATTATTAGAATGCTGTCACTTCTTGATCATTTAAATCTCTCCAGATACCAGAACTACAGAGAACTACAAAAGTAGTAGTGAAGAGTGCTAGTTCAACTGCCTCTTCCAGTATCATCATTTCATCCTTTTTCAGGATCTAAATGCATGGGTGCAGCATTAGCTGCAATAGCTTGGCATTACTTTTTTCTCCTTGAGCCTTCTGTGACATTGAACCGTCTTCAGTGAGAGCAGGTGTTACTTCTAGCAGAGCAGTCCCAGACAGATTTTATCAAAAAATTGCATAAAGTGTAGAAAAAGGATGAGGATGGCCTCGAGCCAAGCTTTGGAGGCACCAAAAGCTTTTTGCTGCATTTGGAGGGATTTTCCTGGGAATTAGTTGTAGTTCCTGCATAATACCAATTTCCTGCTCTCCACAGAATGTTGGGAGAAACTGTGGAGGGCAGTTTCCGTCTGACCTGACTCAAAAGTTTCAGCACACAATTTAAAAGAATCAGCTTGATTTAGATAAGCTTGTTTGGATAAACTTATTTGAGAACCTAGGCTGTTATACCACATGGGACTGTGTCTACTTTAATTCCTGTGCTTCCTTGTTTTTCAGTGCTTTTTGTGCATCAGGCCCTTCGTGCTCATGTTCTTTTTAAATCCTTCAAGCTGTTGTTTATCTTCTAGTTCCTCTGAAAGATATATCTGCCTTGTAGTGTAGATGCACCTAGGCTAGCTTTAAATTGCTCAGGCAGTGCTGCTAGCAGCGTTGCTGCGGAAGCCTGGGTCTGAGGGCGGGACTGCTGACCACCTTAAGAGGGTGTCACAGCCCATGCCAAGTTCTGCCCTGTCAGGGCTAAGCTGCTGGTAGGTCTCAAGTTAGTTGGGAGCTAAGTGCAGACGCTGCCATCACTGCGCTGCAGCCTTTACTGATGTTTATGAAACAGCAAGTAGGCAGGTGAGAAGGTGCCATTTAAACAGAACTCCAGAGAAGTTGTCAAACCTGCAGATTTTACATAATAAGAAAAGACATGTTATTTTCATTATCTGAACCCAGATTATTGTTATACAGACTACTTAAGTTTTTCCTGATTTTTTCTTCTCCTTCTTATGATTCAGTTCTTTAAGTAATAAAGGAAAATAGATACTAGTGATTAAACTAAAGATGTTCCTTCTGGATTCTGCAGCATCTGTAACCTCTCTGTCTTTGCCATATATGTGGAAAAAGAATGTGCCCTGAGGGAATGTTCTTGGTACTATGAAAATAGCGTCAGCCACAACTTACTGCATTCAGTACATAACAATTTTAACACAAAGATACCAGAGAATATGGCAGACATGAACTGGACTAATTTATTATAAGAATAGGAAGTTCAGTAGTTCTTGCTTTACAAAGAAGTGAAGTGAGCCACAGCACAGTTAAAATGTCATAGTTCAGGCTACAAATTTGTGGGAGAATTGTTTGTATTGTCTATATATCCTGGCAGGGTGAAATCAAAGTTAATGAGTAAATTCCTATGCAAGACAATGTATGTACCTGTCCATATTGTGTAATGGGGTTAAAGAGGATTCAGATGATCTTGATCAGTTGAAGATCTAGTTTGAGGTTTGAAACAGCCTAAACATACACTTCAATATAGCTCATTTGTGAATGTGAAAGTGACTAATCTGAAAGATTCCCTATAATAAAATTAAAGTAGTACTGCGAGCTTATTGTTAGTAGTTCATGTCACTGAATTTAAAAGGAGACACTCCAGTGCATCATGTTAGGACCTGTGTCTTTGTATGGACAGGATTAACCAAGTTACGTGGTCATTGCAGTTACAGAAAATAATTGATTCTAGGGCAATAATTCTGACTTTTCCTTCAGAGTTCAGAAGCCAAACTAAACCCTGGTCCTTAGTTGTGTTTCTTTTTACTGAATCTGTTATCAAGTACACTGCTGAGCCAAGGATACAGGAAGATTTGCAGTTAATTAAATCTTCTGGCATAGTACGCAGGTCCCACACGGGAGCGTTTCGGATGGGAGGAGGTGCAGCCACAAAAGTGGTGTAAGTGTTACTTTCAAGCCAGCAGGATTCCCAGCAGTGTTTATGCTGTCCTGGGAACTGAAGGGGCTTGAAAACAGCTGAAAGTCAAGTTGTCCTTTTCCTCATGTGCACCAGTGCAAAGCAGAGTTCTGGTTCAAGCAAAGACTGGCCCTTTTGAGATTAACAGTTTTAGTTAACTGAACATCAGTAAAAACGTACAAAGATTTGAGAGTGCCAGCTTGGCCTGCGCAAAGAAGCTGAGCCACTTGAAAGCGTACTTCTTAATGAAACCCTGGCGTATACAGGCTGTCTTTTACTGACTCTGTTATGAAGGCCAAGACAGAGGTTTTGAGTGGTAAAAAGTTATGGGGGAAAAGCTAATTGTCAGTTGAAAAAATGATCTCTTTTGCCATTCAAGCTGCCTAAGCACATATTGTCATCAAAAGCAGTTATTAATTTGAAAAAATAGTGCTGCAGCAAAGTAGTGTCAGCCAGATGTTAAAACTTGATTCAAGCTGCTGTAGCCTTGTTTCTAGAATTACATATGTGAGTTGATAAGTAAGAGTGAGTTCTTCTGAGATCAGTAGGACGCTGCCAGCTTTCACAGTGTTTTAAAACTGGACAAATTTAAATATGATTTCTGTAACTGACCCCAGGGTCTAAGTCAAAACTAAAATGTCTGATCTATTTACGTAGATCCAAAGGAAAGTGCCTTCCCCTTAATAGTAGTCAGGGCTCATTAACAATCACAACAGTATTTTATCTCATTTTGACTTGAAATGTGACCCTTCCAGAAACAAATAGATGTGCAGTTTGGTTTTATGCGGTTTAATGCTAATGCATTAGCAAGACTGCATAAAACTGCCTACCATATTGTGTAATATGTATGTCCTAGCAAACAAAAGAATTCTGCATTAAAATCAGTTGAGTTGCACATCTATTTCTGGGAACAGGCTGTTTGTTTGCTGTTTTTTAATTTTTAACTTCTGCAAATTGTTACACCAGATGGACTGTTGAGCCAACAATAGATCATCATGTCTCACCACAATGGGATCTCTTTCTGGCTAGCTTGAGTCAAAGCAGTTAGATGTCAGTTGTCACCAAGCACATTCCTAAAAACTTCACATTAATGATTTCTTTCCATCTGGTCCTTAGTAGTATAAACAATTTCCTGCCTCCTTGCATAGCATCAGAAATGCACATAAATAAGTAATCTAGGCCTGAAACAATTCTTTTGAACACATTAAATTGAATTTCTGGATGCTAGCAGGTCCTACACTTCCCTGGGTAACTGAATACTCATACTAATTATGGTAAAGAGTTTGATAATTAAGTGTTTCTATTTTTAAATTATGCTCTTTGATTTTTATTCCCATAGAGGTCTCAGTCTGCATTCTCCCTGGCTAGTGAAGATATGCCCAGTAAAGGACTAGACCCTGCATCAACTGTGACTGAGGCTCTTTGGAGGCAGCAAAAAGGGCAATTCAGAAAACAGAAGGAACGCAAGCTCTCTGCATTACCCAGCTGGAAAAGCGTGGACCGGCTAAATGAAACAAGTAAATATTTCTAGTACGAATATGATTCTTTTTTTGGTTCTCGCTCACATGTGGAATAAATACGACTTAAAACAAGGACCTTCTCTGGGAAATTTCTGCTGACCTCTGTGCTTGCAGGAGTCACATGTAAAAATGTCTATTTAGTGATGCTGAGTGTCGTTTCATTGGGCTGTGTCATTGCTTATCTTGCCTTTTTTTTTTTTTTTCCCCCCCCAAAAAAAAGATTCTAAATTTGGGCCTTTGGGGAGTTGATTTTGGACTGTTAGGAAACATTAAGCATCTAATTTGGATACATTTCAGAGCTTCTAAGACACAAGAGCCCAAGGGCCCTCCCTGCTTTGTTACCTGGTTATCTGTCCTGCAGTTGAAGGAGTTTGCAGCTGCCTGTAGTATCCCTTCTGTTGCACGAGTTAACTGTTCCAGAGGTTTATATGGTGAACCAGTGAAATAATACACATTCCCCCTTGCACCTTTATTTTCAACCCAGCTGAATTCACCAATGCACTGTTCTGTGCAGCCCTACTAACTGCTGCTTCCACACAAGTCTGAGGAAGCTGTGTAAGTAGGAACTTCACAGACCAGCGGTTTCCCTAGATCTGCCCTCTGTCTCTGTGTATTAGGTGTGGACGTGAGTATGGACAATGGATGGTGAGCAGCTTCCTAAGTCAGGCCCATTCCCGAATCAGCACCCTGGGATAGAATGCAATTCCCTGCTTACATCAAGATGACATAAGTACAGGCTGTCACTGAAGAAGGTGGTTCCTGCTTTTGGGGGGGGTCCCATTTCCACTGCCTTTCTTGTTGTGGCTGTAGTGTTCATGAGGCCACAAGAGTCTAGCACCAGGCAACTGCTGCACAGAGTTGGTTAGTTTTCACCCCCACAGCTGCACAAGGAGAAGGGCTGAACTGCTCACTGCAGCAATGGCCCTGGCTCCAGGTGACAGGGAACAGCAAAGCTAACATATCTGCTGCTGTTGTCCTCCCGTGACAGAGTCTGCTTGTTCCTGCTTCTGCTCTTGTAACAGCTGTAGAGCGTATCTGCCCCCTGTAGCAAATTGGTTCATGAAGCTAAACAAGCAGAAAACTTTTCTTTCATAGGGTGAGTTTACCTGTGCCGTAACTCCCACAGCTGGCTCACTAGGCGCTGGCATGCAGAAGCAGCCAAAATATGTCTTTGGGTGTAGTGGGGACCAGGGATGGGGGCTGCCCATCAATTCGGTTTGTTTATCTGTAATGCCAGTTGATAAACAGGGAGACTGAAAGTTAGACAGTGTCAATACCCCTCCTCCTGCCTAAAAAGAAAGTGATAGTAAAGTAGTAGTGAAATCTGATTTAACTAAGTATGCATTACTTTGTGAACTGCTCGTTCAACCCCATGTAAGAAATGTTGTTCTCCTGGGCATTTTAGTGGAAGGCTTTTTTCAGAAAAGCAACTAATTGGGTGTTTAAATTTAAGAACCCACTTCAGTCCCATTGAATTCAACTGTTGAGCGATTTAGTACTTAATAATTACTTAACTGTAACAGAATGACAAATTGACCCAGTTTCCTTTCAGGTGCTCTACTCAGAGGATTTATTCTGCTTCTTTCATCTAAGAAACACATTTGTTACAAAATTGTGGTACCTGTTGAGCTTATAGTAAATAGCTGATTGTGCTAATTTCTGTAAACATGATCTCACCTATGCAGTAGTAAGCAGCTCTGTTAGTACAGATACAGAAAACAAAAGAAATCTCAACCCAGAGTCTGGAGTGATAACATCAATGGGCTTTTTAGTCATGTACCCAAAAGCAGTTCACAATTCATTTTGATTACAGTTTATGCTGGTTTAAATGATGACTCAAGAGCCAGATCATGAATTTGTGCTTTTTTTCCCCTTTACCAATAGTTTCGCAATGAGACCTTTCAAATCTGTTTTCATTTTCACATGGATAAGTTATAGCATATACCCAAAGAATTGTGTGCAAAATCCTTTCTTTCAAGTAAGTGACTGTTCTGGAAAATCAGGAAGGGAGCATTTGACATTACTTGAAGCTGGATTAAAACTTCAGTCAGCTTTCTGAATATAAAGTTCTCAGTGGCTTTCCTTTCCACCCTGCTTACCCTCTAAGATGTAATCAACTGCTATCCTGTCCTTTCTTCAGTTAACTCAGGATGTTTGACCAATTCCCGTGTGTTGTTGCTAAACAAAATAAGAGAATAGTGTTTGGGAGAGAAAAAAGTATGTGGCACTCCACTGCATTACGTTTGTGTAATGTGGTGCAACTGAATTCAATTCCTGTTGGACATTTACGTCTTGCAGAGCTGTTTGCTTTGTTTGAAGGAACCTTTGTTTTTAAGGAAAAGTCTTATTTCTCTCAAAAGAATCTTATATTTAGCTTAGTATGGTGGGTTGGCCCTGGCCAAAATGCCAGGT